GTCACGTTTGACGAGTCGGTCTGCTTCTACCGTCTCCACCTGCACACGTCTTCCCCGCTCTCCCGGCCGCCCCCCTTCCTAGTCCCAGGTCCTCCTCCGGTAGACCCCCTCCCCCCGCAGGGTCCTGCTCCGTCAGGTGTGTCTCAGGTCGACCCACCCCCCTTGGTTGAGCCTTTGGAGGTCTCCTCTAACTCCTCTGGCCCAGCTGAGGGGGGTGACCCCGCGGCTGACGACACGGCGGCCACTCGCCACTCCCCGCACTTGGAGACCCCTCCTGGTTTTCCGCCTCGGCCGTCTTCGCCGCCTCCGCAGCTTGTCGCTGTGGGCTCTGGTGGTTTTGGGGGTGCTGAGTCTGGGGGTGCCGGTTCTGGGGGTGCTGAGTCTGGGGGTGCTGGTTCTGGGGGTGCTAGAGCTGCTGGTGCTGGAGGTGCTGGAGCTGGAGGTGCCGCTGGTTCTGGGGGTGCTGGAGGTGCTGGAGCTGCTGGAGCTGCAGGTGCTGGAGGTGCTGGAGCTGCTGGAGCTGCTGGTGCTGGAGGTGCTGGAGCTGCTGGTGCTCGAGGTACTGGAGCTGCTGGAGCTGCTGTTGCTGGAGGTGCTAGAGCGGCTGGAGGTACTGGAGGTGCTGGAGCTGCTGGTGCTGGAGGTACTGGAGCTGCTGGTGCTGGAGGTGCTGGTGCTGGAGGTGCTGGAGGTGCTGCTGGTGCTGGAGGTGCTGGAGCTGCTGGTGCTGGAGGTGCCGCTAGTTCTGGGGGTGCTGGAGCTTCTGGAGCTGGAGGTACTGGAGGTACTGGAGCTGCTCGTGCTGGAGGTGCTGGAGCTGCTGGTGCAGGAGGTGCTGGAGGTACCGCGGGTTCTGGGGGTGCTACAGCTGCTGGTGCTGGAGGTGCTGGAGCTGCTGGTGCTGGACGTGCTGGAGCTGGAGCTGTTGGAGCGGCTGACGGTACGGGTACTGTGCCACGCCGACCGTTTTTCTACCCGCAGCCGCAGTCGTCCCTGCCACCGCCTGACTCGGTCCTTCACCAGGTTCTTAGTCTCCTGTCTTCCACTGGCCTCACTCTACCTCTTCTGTGTCCACCGACAGACCAGTCTCAGCCACAGCTACTGCCTGGCTCTCCGCTACCTCCTCCTGCTCCTCACGCTTAGGTGACTGCGTCCCTGACTGCGTGTCGTGAGCCTGAGACTTGTGCTTCCACACCTGTTCGTGCTCGTCGTGTCCCACGTCCTCGTCCTCCTGCTCTCCCAGGCACTCGCGTTATGGCACTTCGTCCTTCCTCTGTTCCACAGCGTGTTGCCCTGCCTTCTCCTCCTGCGTCCTCTCTTCCTGACGTTCCTGACCCTGAGTCCGACCTTGCTCGTGCTGCCAGTCCTACTGTCACTCGTCTCCTCGCTACTGTCGTCACTGACCCTGGCTTTGAGTCTACTGCTGCGTTTTCCCTAGTCACTGAGCTAGTCGACTTTGCTGCTCGGAGTCGTCTCGACTACGTCGCGAGCCTTGTTACTGAGTCTGAGTCTGTCTGTCCTCCGTCCGTCGGGGGTGAGCTTGCCCTTGACTGTGACGTCCTTCAGGACAGGCTGTTTGAGCTTGAGTTTCTCGCGGCCGCTTTACCCCGTTTCGCGTCCATGCTGCTTTGCCCTTAGGGAGACCCGGATGCACTTGACATCCCCACCCCGCGCTCTTACGCAGAGGCGATCACGGGTGAGTACTCCTCTCAGTGGCAGACAGCCATGGATGCAGAGATGGCTTCCTGGAAGTCCACAGGCACCTACGTCGACGAGGTTCCCCCCTCCTGGGCGAACATAGTCGATGGCATGTGGATTTTCAGAGTGAAGCGGCCGCCGGGTTCTCCAACTGCCTTCAAGGCGTGTTACGTTGCTCGAGGCTTCAGTCAGCGACAGGGGGTTGACTACTTCCAGACCTTCTCCCCCACCCCGAAGATGACTACTCTTCGGGTGTTGCTGCACGTTGCAGCACAGCGTGACTACGAGCTGCACTCCCTCGACTTCTCTACAGCTTTCTTGCAGGGCAGCCTTCACGAGGAGATCTGGCTGCGCCGCCCACCTGGCTTCACTGGGTCGTTTCCAGAGGGTACTCACTGGAGTCTCCGGCGGCCAGTCTACGGCCTCCGCCAGGCGCCCCGCGAGTGGCACGACACACTGAGGATGACACTTGCGGATCTTGGGTTTGCTCCTTCCACTGCTGACCCGTCGCTGTTTCTCCGCACCGACCCTACTCTGCCGCCGTTCTACATCCTCGTGTACGTCGACGACTTGGTCTGTGCTACTGCCGACACTGAGGCGCTGACCCTTATGAAGGCGGAACTGCAGAAAAGACACACTTGCACTGACCTGGGTGAGCTCCGTAGCTATCTTGGCTTGCATATCACCCGGGACAGAGCACGGTGCACCATCACTCTGACTCAGTCACACATGGTGCACCAGGTCCTTCAGCGCTTCCGCTTTCGGTTCTCCTTGCCACATCTCACTCCTCTGGCTACCGGCCACTCGCTCTCAGCTCCACCTTCGGACAAGTCCGTAGAGCCGAGTGCTGCCGAATGGATGGCATGGCTGAGGACGTCCCCAGTGAGGTGAGGAAGGCGGGAACTGTATATGTGAAAATGCTCCACCCACTCAGGAACTGCCACCGCACTGGCAGGGTGTTTTGCTTTCAGCCTGTCCACTGTCAGTTGAGAGGGCTGCGCCAAGTTGCTCGCAGTTAGGCAAGCCAGTCCCCGACTCCACTCCCACATCTGGCACCTCGTGCGACATCGAGCCAAACGGATAGCATCAGCATCTCGCTCAGGTAAGGAGAAGGTAAGAGGTCGCGCCGCAGGGGTCAATGCAGTAGTGGCGGCCTCGAACAACTGTCGCCATTGCCCTTCCCAGAACTTCCCCAGGCGCTCAACTATGGCTGCCCTCCGTCCGACGCCCTCCTCCGCTGGTACTCCCAGGATAAGGCGTGGGAAGGCCATGAACATCAGCGTCGCCGCTTCATCCCTAGGGGAAGCCTTGAGTCACTTAAGAATGCAGCACAACGCGTCGAGCACACCCAAACGTGCCCGCTGCTGGATCCGACGAAGGAGCTCGCCCGACACAGAATGGACACTGAAGAAAGTCTCCCAGTCCCATGAAGGCACCGCCGCCCAAACTTCCTCGCTAATATCCCGTGTTAGCACAGGATCCATCTCCACAGCCTCGCTCGGGTTTGGGGAGGAACTATGGGCTTGGGCTCGGCGTTGGGCATAAGCTGCCTTACAGGCAGCAATGTGGCGGGAGGCCGCACCACCCAGCGGGAAAGTGTGGAAGCAGAACTCGCATGGGACACGGGCCGGAGAGAGTGGAGTGGTGTCAGGCGAAGCTGCCATCCCGACATCCCCCTGAGTGAGGCTTTCCCCCGGCTGTTGCCCCTGCGCTGCCCCCGGCTGCTGCCCCTGCTGCTCCCCTGGCTGGTGCCTCTGCTGTTCCCCCGGCTGCAGCCCCTGCTGCTCCCCCGGCTGCTGCCCATGCTGCCCCCCCTGCCGATTTCCCAGATGCTCCCGTAGCTGCCGCTCCTGCTGCATGCCCGGCTGCAGCCCCGGCTTTACCCCCGGCTGCTGCCCCTGCCGCTCCCTGTTCTGTACCCCTCTCCCCGACTGCTGCCCCTGATCCTCGCCAGGCTGCTGCACCTGCTGATCCCCAGATTGCTGGGCCCCTGACCCCTGCTGCCGCTGGGCTTTCTTCTGGCCCAGCCCGCCTTCAGCCTGGTGACGCTGCTGATTGCTCGACTGCTGCCTGCCCTGGCCCCCGCGCCGCCACCTGCCCTTGCCTCGTGGCAGTTGGTTGTCCAAGGGCCCCTGCGCCTGTGTGTCCAGATCACACAGCAGCTGCCCTCTCTGGTCCGTTTCCCCTACCTGCTGCCCAGAATTTCGCCCCGCTAGCAGCTCCTTAGAAGGACCAAAACGATCCTGTCGGTCCTCCCCTCCATGGCCCGAAAGCTGTGACACAGGCACCAAATCCGTCTCCATATCCTGTTGCCTTACTTGAAGTGGGCCCGCAACACCAATGACTCTGTCGCCCCGAGTATCACCCACTCAGATGCCCAGCTGCTGCCCCTGCTGCTCCCCCGGGTGCCGCCCACCTAGCCACAGTTCCTGCTGCTCCCCTGGCTGCATTTCCTGCTGCTCCCCCGGCTGTCTTTCTTGCTGCTCCCCTGGCTGCATTCCCTGCAGCTCCCCCATTTGCAGATTCTGTTGCTCCCCCGGCTGCAGCTCCTGCTGCCCCTCAGGCTGCATTTCCTGCTGCTCCCCCATCTGCAGTTCCTGCTGCTCTCCTGGCTGCCGTTCTTGCTGGTCCCCCATCCTCATTCCTTGCTGTTCCCCCATCTGCATTTTCTGCTGTTCCCACATCTGCAGTGCCTGCTGCTCCCCTGGCTGCTGTTCTTGCTGTTCCCCCACCCTCATTCCTTGCTGTTTCCCCATCTGCATTTTCCCCATCTGCGTTTCCCGATGCTCCCCCTGTTGCAGTTTTTGCTGTTCCCCTGGCTGCCGTTCCTGCTGCTCTCCTGGCTGCATTCCCCGCTGCTCCCCCCCCTGCAGTTCCTGCTGCACCCCTGGCCGCAATTCCTGCTGCTCCCCAGGCCGCAGTTTCTGCTGCTCCCTTGGCTGCCAACCCCGCTGACCTTCACCCAGCTGCTCGTGCTGGCGTGGTGGCAGCCCACCCTGCTGACACCGCTGTTGTTGCCTTTCGAACTGCTGCTCCTGCAGAACGCTTGGCTCCCGCCCTTGCCGGCTGTCCTGTTGACGCTGCTCATGCCGGTCTCCTGAGTGGTGTTCTCGCTGGCCCCCAGACTGCTGCTCCTGCTGGCCTGCGAGGCGGCCTCGTTGAGCTGTCCCACCACGGCCACGACCGCGGCCCCGACGGCGCACACCCTCTTGCGTAGTACTCGCGGGCTGCATACCTTGCACGCTCGGAAAGAGAAAGGCATGTTCCTCAGCTCCCGCCCGTCCCTCCAGCAATGCCCCCGGTCATGCCTTTGGGAAAGGATTTAGGCCGCTAATCTCCCCTGCAGCAAGCCCTTCACCCACCGACAGGCCATGCTGCATTCCTGGTTGCTCCCGCAGTGGCTTCCCTCCTTGCCCCGCTCGCTCCCGCTGCTCCTTCACACACATCTCCCCTTGGACCTCTGTCGGCAAGCCTAGCTGTCCCTCCGCCAGACGGCTCGGGTGGCTCCTTGGCACCAATTCCGGCAGGTTTGCATCCGTCGCCCCCTGCTGCCCACCTGCCCCGCACTCCCGACCCTCATCCTGCACCTCCTGCCTCCCCGCTGTCAGCACCTCCTGCTCTCCCGTCGGCCACTCTTGCCGACTGCGCGTGTCGGCTACCGCCCGTGCCGAACGCCTCAGCTCCTGTCGTCGTGCCAGGCGCGGCCCAAGTGGAGCCTTTCTAGGACCCACTGAAGGTCCAAGAGTGCCGTGCGACTCTGTTGCCGTGGCACCACATGAAAGCTCACGCCGCCGTCTATTATGCAGCTCCTGTAAGTGACGGCGTTGCGCCTCCCACTCCACCACTGCCCTGTCCATCCCCATGTCACCTGGTTCCTGCCCACGCCCTAGTATCCCTCGGGTGTCTTGTGCATTCACCAGCCCAGAGGATGCGTGTGGGCAATTGGGCGATGCTTGCTGGTCTACCGAGGGTGTGTGTGGGGTATCAGCAGCCTCCCGCTGTTCACAAACTGTGAGTGGCGCCTCAGCCAAAGGAGGCTGAGCATCCCCATTACTAAGCCGCTGCAAAGTTCCTGAGAGCGGCGGTACACCGAACATGTCGCTGGTGCTCATGGGAGCGGCTGGTGCCTCGCGGTGTCGTTTGCATGGTGTCCCCTCCGAGCAAAGTCGGTCTACCGAGCTCAGGCGCCGGAGACCGCGGAGGAGTGGCTGCGTGAGGCCTTCCCAAGGCCTTTTGAGAGTGTTTGCTTGGGGCTGCGCTACATACTCCCGAGCGCTAGTGCCTGAGTGCCTGTCTGGGTCAGCATGTGCTTCCGCCTCACCATGCAGTGCCTGTGGGGGTGTGTGCTCGTGCTACGAGTCAGCCATGTCGAGGATGCTGTAGCGTCCGTCTAGTTCCATGCTCTTCAGTTCCGGCCCCTAGCAACAAGGGAGCCCGGTATGCTCGTGTGGCGGGGTAACAAGAAACCGTACACTGCTAATCCTGCTCCAAGCGGGAGAAACCCTAGTTGTGCGCGTGGTAACGAGGGAACGCACACTGCAGTTCCTGCTCCTAGCGAGGGAAACCAGCTGCACGCACGGCCACGAGAAGACGTCCACTGCAATTCGTGCTCCTAAAGTGAGTCCTTCGTCATGTGCGAAAGCTACAACCGTTCACTTGAGTGCCTGCTCCTAGCAAAAATCGCAGCTATGGCGTGAAACCGTCACTTCACGACGCGCTCGTACCTGGAAATTTGTTGTGGGCAGGAAAACGTGAAGCAATCGCTACGCTAACCTGTTGCTCGCGGGATTCGGGGCCGTGGGCGCGTTGGCGTGAAGCATACGTTTCGCGACCTAGTGCTAGCTGAATTCGCGACTGGGGGCAAGGTCTCGTGTGGTGTACGCTACGCGGCCTGCTGCAATCGAGACACGGCTAGGGGTGCTGTGACGTGTGGCGCACGCTTCGCGACCTGGTGCTAGCAAGATTCACGGTTGGGACGTGTGGTGTACGTATCGCGTTTTGCGCTAGCAGGATTTCCGAATTGTGGAGCAGTGGCGCGCGACATTTTTTCAGAAATGTGTTTGCTTCATCTATTCATTTCGTTTGTTTCTTACTTATGTTTTTCTCGTCATAACTAGGCTCATGGTTGCGCACAACTGTACTTATTCATGACAGTGTGGCATTTGGAGATGGGAAACGTTTGCTTCAACGTACCCATTTGGTTGGTACTAAGAGTAAGTGCTTTACGTCATTTGGTTGGTACTAAGAGTCAGTGACGTATCCGTATGGCTGGTACGAAAAGTAAGGTGCGTTACTTACCGTATAGTTGGAACTAAGAGTCAGTGCGTTACGTACCCGTATGGTTGGTACTAAGAGTAAGTGTTACCTGTATGGTTGGTAGTAAGATTAAGTGCATTACTTACCCGTATGATTTGTATTAAGAGTAAGTGCGTTTACTTGCCCGTATGGTTGGTACTAAAAGTAAGTGCGCTACTTACCCGCATGGTTGGTACTAAGAGTAAGTGAGTATTTACCCGTATGGTCCGTACTAAGAGTAAGTGTGTTACTTACCCATACGGTTAGTACTACGAATAAGTGCGTTACTTACCTGTATGGCTGGTACTAAGACTAAGTGCGCTACTTACCCATATGGTTGGTACCAAGAGTAAGTGCGCTACTTACTAGTATGGTTGGTACTAAGAGTATGTGCGTTACTTACCTGTATGGTTGGTAGTAAGAGTAAGTGCGTTACTTACCCATATGGTTGGTACTGAAGGAAAGTGCGTTACTGGCCCGTATGGTTGGTACTAAGAGATAGAGCGTTATTTACCCGTCTGATTGGTACTAAAAGTAAGTGCGTTACTTACCTGTATGGTTGGTACTAAGAATAATTGCGTTACGTACCCGTATGGTTGGTACTAAGAGTAAGTGCGCTACTTAGACGTATGGTTGGTACTAAGAGTAAGTGCGTTACTTACCCTTATGGTTGGTACTAAGAATAAGTGCTTTACATACCCATTTGGTTGGTACGAAGTATACGTGCGTTACGTACCCGTATGATTGGTACTAAGAGTAAGAGCGTTACTTGCCCGTATGGTTGGTACTAAAAGTAAGTGCGTTATTTACCCGTATGGATGGTACTAAGAGTATAAGCGTTAAGTACCCACATGGTTGGTATTAAGAGTAAGTGCGTTACTTATCCGTATGGTCGGTACTAAACGTAAGTGCATTACATAACCGTATGGTTGGTACTAAAGGTAAGTGCGTTACTTACCCGTATGGTTGGTACTAAGAGTAAGAGCGTTATTTACCTATATGGTGGGTACTAAAAGCAAGTACGCTACTTACCCATATGGTTGGTACTAAAACTAAGTGCGTTACTTACCCATATGGTACAAAGTGTAAGTGCGTTACGAACCTGTATGATCGGTACTAAGAGTAAGTGTGTTACTTACCCTCATAGTTGGTACTAAGAGTAAGTGCGCTACATATCCACATGGTTGATAGTAAGAGTAAATGCGTTACGTACCCGTATGGTTGGTATTAAGAGTATGTGAGCTACTTACCTATATGGGTTGGTACTCAGAGTAAGCGTGTTACGTACCCGTATGGATGGTACTAAGAGCAAGTGCGTTACGTACCCGTATGGTTGGTACCAAGGGAAGTGCGTTATTTGCCCGTATGGTTGGTATTAAGAGTAAGTGTGTTACTTACCCGTATAGTTGGTACTAAGCGTAACTGAGCTACTTACCTGTATGGTTGGTAAGAAGAGTATGTGCGTTACCTACCTGTATGGTTCGTACTAAGAGTAAGTGTGTTACTTACCCTCATAGTTGGTACTAAGAGTAAGTGCGCTACATATCCACATGGTTGATAGTAAGAGTAAATGCGTTACGTACCCGTATGGTTGGTATTAAGAGTATGTGAGCTACTTACCTATATGGGTTGGTACTCAGAGTAAGCGTGTTACGTACCCGTATGGATGGTACTAAGAGCAAGTGCGTTACGTACCCGTATGGTTGGTACTAAGAGTAAGTGTGTTACTTACCCGTGTGGTCGGTACTAATTGTAAGTGCGTTACATGACCGTATGGTTGGTACTAAAGGTAAGTGCGCTATCTGCCTGTATGGTTGGTACTAAAAGTGAGTGCGTTACTTACTCGTATGGTTGGTATTAGCAGTAAGTGCGTTACGTATCCGTATGGTTGGTACTAAGAGTAAGTGCGTTACATATCTGTATGGCTGGTAGTAAGAGTAAGTGCCTTACTTACCCGTATGGTTGGTACTAAAAGTAGGTGCGTCACTTGCGCGCATGGTCGGTACTAAGATTAAGAGCGTTTTTTACCCATATGGATCGGAATAAGAGTAAGTGCGCTACTTATCCGTATGGTTGGTACTAAGAGTAAGTGTGTTTCGTACCCGTATGGTTGGTACTAAGAATAAGTGCATTACATTCCCGTATGGTTTGCTCTAAAGGTAAGTGCATTACGTGCCCGTATGCTTCGACACAACATTGTACGCGCCATGAACAGTGCAAGTAGAAAGGACGAGCTTGCAAAGGAACCCAAGATGGAAGCTTTGCAGTTCGGTTGATTTGAATGCGCAGATTCAGTTTATCCGACTCAAAATTGTACTGTTTTGTTTGGTTAACTATAGTGTAGCAGGGCAGGCACTATAGGGGTACAATTAAATGAAGGTAGGATGTTTGGGCCTGGAAAATGCAACTTTATTTCCGCCAGATCGGTTTGCTGAAACTAATGATTGGGGAGGAGCCTAGACCGAGTGACCCCGCGCTGCAGGAAGAATGGGACGACCGCGCCTCAGCTGGCTACTACTTGATGTCGCAGAGTTTGGAGCTGAACCAGCGTCACCACGTCATGCACCTGCTGCCGGAGGTTGAGTGCGGTCCGAAGGCGTGGAGCTGCTCGCTCCGACCTCTGTCGTTGCAACGTTAATGCTGGAGAGGGAGCTGCTCGCTCCGACCTCCGTCGTTGCAACGTTAATGCTGGAGAGGGAGCTGTCAGCGTTGCGCCTGAGCGAGGGAGAGCCGGTGCATCCTGTCCTGGACAAGATGCGCGACCTCTATGCGAAGTTGGCCACCGCGGGAATCACCTACCCGGAGCAGACCAAGTGCGTGAAGATGCTCTCGCTGCTGCCGGAATCGTGGCTTCAATTCACGAGCGGATTGAGCCTTCCGCAGAACCAGAGCTTGTGGACGCTCGAGTGGGTGCGGACAAAAATTCTGGAGGAGGACTTCCGTCGCTGCCAACTGAGGGGTGGAGACGATGGCAGCAGCGGCTACGGCATGCAAGGGAGCCGACGTGGCAGAGGACGTGGCTTCGGTGGTGCTGGACGCGGGGCAAAGAAGGACGACGACTCCAACGACCAACTAGGAGGTACCGGTTGGGGTCGCGGTGCGAAATATGGACGTGGGGGCAGATCGAGTGCTGGTGGCAAAATGAAAGGGAATTGCTGGTATTGTGAGAAGGAGGGGCATCCCTGGTTATTGTGTCATAAAAAACCCGAAGGATGGACCCCCCAGAATCGCCATAAGGATGTCGGCACGCGGAGCAACCAGAAAAACGGCGCGAACATGGTCGCTGATTGGTCCGACATCAACCCGAAGGGCAACGGCGATGCTGAGAAGAAGAAGGAATGCGCCGCGGGCCAGTGCTTCCATGTTGGAGACAAGGGGGAGCAAGGAGACGGCTCTGCCAAGGTTGGAGCGGAGCTGCACCCCCTGGACTTTAGGGTGTTGGACACGGGCGTCGCAAGGACCTGCTTGATGACCTACGCGCTGCACCAATCTCTGAGGTGTGCTCTGCCTCTGGACACGCATTGAAGGTGGCTGGTGCGGGACGAGCTGCATTTAAGGGAGCGGATGGCAAGCCGGTGGTGCTGCACGATTTTCTCCTCGTTCCGGACCTTAAGGCCAACCTGATCTCCCTCCGTAAGCTTGCCAAGGCTGGGGTGAGCACTAACACGGATGGGGCACGCACTTACAAGGGGCAGCTGGGCAATCGGGTTCTTTGGGATCTGCACGAGAGTAAGGACGTGTACAGATCCATGTGGCAGCTGCCGGCATTGACGTGGCACGGTGGGGGGCAGGCTAGAGAGGGGTCTGCATCTCAGGG